TTTTTTTTGCACTTTCCCAATGAACAGAAACTGAAACTATTCCCAAGGAAGAGCAGACTTCTAAAGCCGTTCAGATTAGATTGTTGGTGACCAAGTTTCATCAATCAGCAAGTGGCTAAAAGGTGTCCAGGGAATGACAATTTTGGGGGACAGGATATGCAACACAAGAAGAAAGATACAGGCAGAAGGACAGTGCTTTGAAAGCTCTTAGGAGAGGACTCAGAGGAGGGAAGAACACCCTGCCGAAACAGTTGGCAGTCTGCCAGCACACCACCAACTGCACAACATTTTCTCTCCCAGAAACCACAGTTTTTAGTTGCAGGTGTTTCCTTTAGAGCTGAACTTAGAAAATGAAATAACTCAAAATCATCAGTTCATCAGAACTAAGGAGTAAGAATAAGTATTGTAATTTTGTTACTAGTTTTTAAAGCACCTTTACACTTTGAGAAAAGCAAGATGCAGTCTATGCAAATAAAGCAAAAGCACAATACTAAGCAGATTTGCATTTCCTCCCCATTTTCCATCCCTAACACCAAAAGTTATAATTTTGGGAGAGAGAGATAATTCAAAGCTATGGTAGCAAATTGGGTCTCAAAAAAAAAAAAAAAAAAAAAGGGACATTATTAAGAAAGCTGCGGTAAAAATTACTAATAATGTTGTAAACAACTATTTACTATTTTATTTAGAAAACGCTTCTTTGCTTACTTATAAGAAAACCTTTTAAAACGAGAAATGGTACACTACAAGTCATCTGGTGAAGGAACCTACTACACTAGTATTTAAGCACTCTACTGTATTTCAAATATATTTGCTTGATCTCCCTCCATCATATTTTCTCCTGAAATATATTAGAAAAGTGTTCAAATGAGCAAGCAAGACATATCTTGAACATAGCAGAAACTGAGAAGAAAAAAAAAACAGAGGCATTTTCTCTCCTAGATCTTTCAGCCAGCTGCCGATCTAGGGATTAGACCTGCAATGCAGTAAGGTGGGGCACGCAAAAACAGAGAACTCCTTCCTGCCTGACATTTTTGTTCAGGTAATCAGAGTTTAAACTTGTATAAATAATGTAATTAGATAATAATGTAACTAACATCTCCATTAAATTAATACCACCTACATCCCCATAGGAAAACGTTTCAAGTTTTTTATTAACCAGTCCCAAGGGAAATCCTGGGGATAAAACAAGAGAAAAAACTATAGCAGGTGTTTTCCTTTCTGGGAAAAAAAAAAGTATTATAAAGTATTCAAGGTAATTAACAAAATGTTTATTATAAAGTCTACACTTGATCTTAGCCAAAAGGCTGAGAAGCAATGCAATAAAGTCTACATATGGCTTTCTGAGGTTTTTTTTTTTTTTAAATTTTAAGGAAGACACAGGTGTAAAATAAGGCAATTCACACTATCAGTTTAGGTGATAATAGCACTGCAACTGGCAAAACAAGTAATCCAGTTAGCTAATGGCAGATATTTTAAGTATATAAAAGTATATATGGTATAATGGGATATTAGTTCTTAAAATACCTATGCCTTATAAATAAAAGCTCAAGGTAAATCCACAGAAATATTTTTTTTTTTTTTTTTTGAGACAGAGTTTCACTCTTGTTACCCAGGCTGGAGTGCAATGGCACAATCTCGGCTCACCGCAACCTTCGCCTCCTGGGTTCAGGCAATTCTCCTGCCTCAGCCTCCTGAGTAGCTGGGATTATAGGCACGTGCCACCATGCCCAGCTAATGTTTCGTGTTTTTAGTAGAGACGGGGTTTCACCACGTTGACCAGGATGGTCTTGATCTCTTGACCTCGTGATCCACCCGCCTCGGCCTCCCAAAGTGCTGGGATTACAGGCGTGAGCCACCGCGCCTGGCCTACACCTAAATCTTAATCGTGGCCTTTTCTAAGCAGGAGGATTATGGGAGATTTGGATTTTGTTCATATTCCATCTATTGAACAATCATCATAATTTTATAATCAAGAAGAAAATAAAAAAAAATGTTTCCAGTGCTAAAGAATAAGTAAAGTGTGTGAACCAAGAATAGCTCTAAGGTTCTAAGAAGCATATTCTTTTTTCAAATAGTGGAAAAATCAAATGAAGCAAAACAGCCTGATTCCTTCTTAGTGTAGCAAAAAAACCCAGGTTTCAGTCAGAAGACCTGGACTTGAATTGGGGTTCTTTCATTTTCTAGATAAGCCATTGAAGCTTTTCTTGAATAAGTTGCCTTAAGAAACTTTATAAAATGTATTTCAAAGTATTCAAACCAAATCAAGAAATAGATGAAAATCTAGAAAACCTTCCTCTCATTAACATAAAAAATCATATACCAGAAAGATAATAATTTGTAGTTGAAAAAACCGAGAAGTAGACACTTGATTTCTCTGAGACCTCAATTATCTTCATCTATAAAATGGGTATAAAGAATCAGTGTCACTTCCAGGGCTGTTATGAGGAATAAATTAGTTGATGTTATGTCAAGTGCCTGATACACAGTAGATGGTAAAAAACTCTAGACCAGACCTTACACAAGGATGCAAATGGTGGTGGGGAAAGGACCTGCACTTCAAAGGGCTTCTGGTTCCTATCCAAGGAAAAGATGAATTAATTACACCGGTCAAGGGTTGTGGTTCTAAGATGTTTTCTAAGATTCTGAAACATTTTAAATCTCATCTTTTGTCATTTTTGTTAGCTAAGGAGTATGCTTTAAGGATTAAAAAAATATTAAAATGAAAAAAAAGCAGTTTTCCTTAGGATCATCAAATGTAAAGAAAAAATTATCCCAAAGTTGATCTGGGATTGAATCTTTTACCTAATTTGTAACTTTTTCTAGGAAGAAATAAGCGTTCTAGATTAAAAAAAAAAAAAAAGCAGTTTTTGGATAATAAATTTTCCGGGGAAATGACCTTCTCTTCCCATCCAGCTGTTAGTCAAGAATTTAGCAAACTTTAAATAGAATTACTCTTCCCTTTGTATGTCTCTTTTTGAGACAGGGTCTCGCTCTGTCACCCAGGCTGGAGTGCAGTGGCACCATCATGGCTCACTGCAACCTCCTCCACCACCACCACCACCTCCTCCTCCTCCTCCTCTTCCCCCCCCACCTCCCATCCCCCAGAGCAAAACTGATCCATCCTCCTCAGCCACGAGAGTAGCTGGGACCACAGGTACGTACCACCATGCCTGGCTAATTTTTGAGTATGTGTATATTTTTAGTACAGATGGGTCTCACCATGTTGCCCAGGCTGATCTCGAATTCCTAAGCTCAAGTGATCCACTCACCTCAGCCCTTTTTTCTTTTGAGATGGAGTCTTGCCCCATCTCCCAGGCTGATCTTGGCTGACTGCAACCTCTGCCTCCTGGGTTCAAGCGATTCTTCTACCTCAGCCTTCGAGAAGCTGGGATTACAGGTGTGCATCACCACATCCAGCTAATTTTTGTATTTTTAGTAGAGACAGGGTTTTGCCATGTTGACCATGCTGGTCTCCCACTCCTGACCTCAGGTGATCCACCTGCCTTGGCCTCCCAAAGTGCTGGGATTACAGGCATGAGCCACTGTGCCCAGCCAGACTTTCTTTTTGTATCTCTAACTTCTCTTTTCTCTTTAAATGTCTCTGCTGAGAGAAATTTTGGAATTGACTTTGATCTTGGAATATGATTGTAATTAAGCTTTGATATGTGGCCATAATTAAATTGTTACGGGTGCACGTCCACAAAAAATTGTTTTTAACCAAGGAAGGAGAGATGTAATTCCTACTGAGCCAGTCCTGTGGGTGAAGAGCCCCAGAGAGCAGAGGAGGTGGCAGTGGCTAAAGGAGAGCCCCAGAGGACAACTGCATCCACAGATTGATGGACCTGGAGGCTGAACAGCAAAAGACTTCTAGTACTCCCCTATCAAATAGGAAAGCATTATATACAGCACCTGCTTCGCAGGCCTTGCTGTGGTAGGGCCTATTGCACAAATTAAGGGCTTTTATGGAGCCGTGGAAGGCGAGGATGTCAAGTGGTGGCTAATTTGAAGATCCAACACAATGAATGAATGAAGCAGCACTGAAGTTTGGTTTTGTTTGCATATCTCAGCCAATCAGATTACCAGTTTACTATACAAAAAACATGGGGAATGGTTTAAAAGATACCATCTAATTTTAGATATCCTTCACTTTTTTCCTCCCACTTTCAACAAGAAACTCACAGATTTAGATTATAAACTTTAACAACAGAAAACAAATCAAATTTAAGAGTTTTGTATCTTTAAATAACAGAATAACATTTGCCCAACCTGATTAACCCTCTCCATCCTCCCCACCTTCCCAGTCCCTCCCTCCTTTCCGGTCCTAAGGTTCCTACTCCTTCTCAAGTCTTTTGAACTCATAGTCCTCTCTCAATCCCACACATTGGACATTGAAGCAAGAAGTGTGTTCTTTGAAGTTTAATCTTTCATATTTGTATGCTTTCTCTCAATTCAATGTAATTCCTTTTTTTTTTTTTTTGAAGGCTTTTAAATCTAAACAAATCAAAAGCAAACAAACTCCTGCAATGCCTAAAACAGTGTCTTGCACCTAACACACTACCCGAAAAAAAATTGTTATTAATATACAACTCTGATTAGCTCCATGTCTCACGCCTATAATCCCAGCACTTTGGGGGGGCCGAGAAGGGCAGATAACCTGAGGTCAGGAGTTAGAGAAACATGGTGAAAACCCTTCTCTATCAAAAATACAAAAAACTAACCGGGCGTGGTGGCCCACACCTGTGGTCCCAGCCGCTCTGGAGGCTGAGGTGGGAGAATCACTTGAGCCTGGGAGGTAGAGGCTGCAATGAGCCAAGATCGCGCCACTGCACTCTAGCCTGGGCGACAGAGCGAGACTCCGTCTCAAAGCGGGGGGGAATCCTCCTCCATTCCCTTGCCACTGGCTTTCCCCTCCCCTCCTCACTTAACCCCTGCTTCTCGCCGCCCCCCCCCCACCACACCCCAGCCACGCCACAGCGACTGGATCTAAAAACAAAGCCCTTCCCAGACCCCGCGGGACCGCGCGCGAACGGCTTTGCAGCCGGAGCCCGGCGCCCCCTCCGAGCTCTCGAGGGCCCCGGGGTCCCGGACCTCTCCTGCAGCGAGTAGGGCCGGGGCTCTTAGCGCCTGCGAACCCCGGAGGGCCTGGGGGAAGGTCGGCTTCTGGGGGCCGGGGCGACGGGAGAAAGACACCGCTCGCTCCTGCAGATCCCAAGCCGGCTTTACTGGGCTGGCGGCGACCGGGGAGTGACCGACAGCCACGAAGCTGCTGCCACGTCAGGCAACTTCACAAAACCCGGACGGGGGCAGGTGACGCAAGCCGGGCGGCCGCGGCGGGGCTGCGCCTGCGGCTACCCAAGGAGGCTGACCTCCGGCCCGGTCGCCCGGTTCAGCGACGCCCCGGCTGGCGCCGGCGCCTGCCCGGCACTCAGGGAGGCGGGGGTGCAGCGGAGGAGGCGGCGCCATCGCGAAGCCCGCGCCTCGCCCGCACTCAGCTTTGTCACCCCGCCTGCAGTCCGGGCTGGACTGGGCGGCGTCTGCGGAGGCTCCTCGGCCAGGCCCCGTCCGCCCGAGCCGTGCTGAGACCCGGGCAGCGGCCGCGTGGAGAGGAAGTGGCAGCGGCCCGGGAGGCCGGAGCCAGGCCAGCGACCCGCCATGGAGACCCGCTACAACCTGAAGAGTCCTGGTGAGCGACGCTGGGGCCCCCGGGGGAAGAGGGCAGGGTGACCTGGACCCGGGGGCGGTCGCCGCGGTCCCTTAGCGTCTGGCGCCACTCATGGCTCCGCTCCCGGTGTCGCGCTTTACGCGAGACCGCCGCCTGCCCGGGAAGTGCAGGCCGCAGGGCGGGGTGGCGTGAACGCCCGCTGCTAATCCCCAGGCGGGCTAGCGCGCCGCAGCACCCGGCCTCTCCCTTTTCTCATCTTCGCCCCGTCCGGTAGAGCTGGGTCAGAAACTCATCCCTAAGAACAGGTGTAAAGGTGATGTCGGTGGGCGACAGTCAACAACCCCTTGCTGTACCTGCATCGGGAACACCGTCGCTATTCCTTCCCGGTCGCTGCCACTGGACTTCTGTTAGCCGGCTGCATTACTCACGTTTGAGGAGTTGGTCGTTTAAATATCTTATTTGCGGCACCTGGGGCGAATAGAATCGCAGACATAAAGGAAATGTTCTGTAACGAAACCAGTTAACTATAGAACTAAAACAAAACAAAACAAACAAAAAATACCTAGTTGAACCCTGTACATGAGAACTAACCTTGATTTTTGTCATACTGGCTAATATGAAATATATCTGTATTCAGTCGTAGAGATTCCTTTCCTGCATTTAATGATCCTGCTTCATTTACACAAGCAGTCCCAGCAATCCTAGCCTCTAATTACTTTCTGGTGCATAATAAAGATAAGTAACTAGCTTTCTCAGCTTAATAAAACAGGCTTGAAATGAATCATTGGATCCTCTAAATGGTATTTTTTTCTACCTGTACCTTGGTAAATTTTGCCAGGAGGAAGAAACTCCACAGTTAACTCTGCACACTCTAGGATATTAATGATGATTTCACCAACTCTTGCTGTTGCTTAAAATTTCCTTCCAAAAAAAGCTGTTTCTCGGTAGGAATTAGCAAAATTAGCATCCTTATGGAAAGAGTTGACATTGTGAATCTTTGGGGTTTTTTGTAAGGTTTCAGAATACGCAAAAATCCCAGAAAAGCCTGAGGATATTGATTGGAGGGAGCTTTGTTAGCCTGAGTGCTGCCAGGCTAAGAAATGTCCTTAGGTGACCAAGTGTGTAGATTTGGTAATAACATTTTAGAGGCCACTGACTCCTTAAAAAATATGGTGAAGACCTGGCATGGTGGCACGTGCCTGTAATCGCAGCATTTGGGAGGCTTGTGGGGGTGGGTGGCAAATTACTTGAGGTCTGGAGTTCGAGACCAGCTTGATCAACATGGGGAAACCCTGTCTCTACTAAAAACACAAAAATTAGCCGGGCATGGTGATGGCGCACTCCTGTAGTCCCAGCTACTCGGGAGGCTGAGGTGGGAGGTTGGCTTGAGTCTGAGAGGTGGAGGTTGCAGTGAGCCAAGATCGAGATTGCACTCCAGTATGGGTGACCGAGAAAGACTCCACCTCAAAAAAAAAAAAAAAAAAAAGGCCGGGCGCGGTGGCTCAAGCCTGTAATCCCAGCACTTTGGGAGGCCGAGGCGGGTGGATCACGAGGTCAAGAGATCGAGACCATCCTGGTCAACATGGTGAAACCCCGTCTCTACTAAAAATACAAAAAATTAGCTGGGCATGGTGGCGCATGCCTGTAGTCCCAGCTACTCAGGAGGCTGAGGCAGGAGAATTGCCTGAACCCAGGAGGCGGAGGTTGCGATGAGCCGAGATCGCGCCATTGCACTCCAGCCTGGGTAACGAGAGCGAAACTCCGTCTCAAAAAAAAAAAAAAAAAAAAAAAAAAAAAAAAAAAAAAAAAAAAAAAAAAAAAAAAAAAAAAAAAAAAAAAAAAAAAAAAAAAAAAAAAAGAACCCGGAGTGGGGGTAGGGGGAAGAAAGAAAAGCTTAATGTATGATTGAATTATTTACATTGTGGTAGATTTAACTAGTACTATTTGGGTAGAAACATCTGGTGGCTCCCGGCTCACAGGGTTCCTTACGACAGCAGAGGTGCTAAGTGAAAGGTCCAGAGGATAATACACATGTGCGTAGTAGTGCAGTTTGGAATGGAGAACTGGTGGAACCCAAGAGATTGTTGTCAGAAAACATCACTCAATTTCAATAGGTTAGACTTAATACTATGAGGATAAGCTTTTAAAATTCTCCAGAATTTTGTACATTTCCAAAGTATGTGAACTATCATCAGCTGGCTGAGCTTTGGTTGACATCATGCTTCTAGCTGTGTCATAAATTGCTTCCTTTTTTTGGTTTTATTTCCTCAAAGATAGTGTTGCTGCTTTAAAAAAACAATGCTTTTTTTTTTTTTTTTTTTTTTTTTTTTTTTTTTTTTTTTTTTTTGAGACAGAGTGTTGCCCTATCACCAGGCTGGAGTGCAGTGGCACAACCCCGGCTCACTGCAACTTCCGCCTCCCAGGTTCAAGCAATTCTCCTGCCTCAGCCCTCCGAGCAGCTGGGACTACAGGCACGCACCACCATGCCCAGCTAATTTTTGTATTTTTAGTAGAGACGGGGTTTCACCATGTTGGCCAGGATGGTCTCAATCTCTTGACCTTGTGATCCAGCTGCCTTGGCCTCCCAAAGTGCTGAGATTACAGGCGTGAGGCACCGCGCCCGGCCACAATGCTTCTTAAAAATCTATTTTTGTTAGTGTGTGGATTATTTGGAATTCGTGGAGAAGTTGTATTAGGTGAGATATGAGACTTACTGAAAATGCTAGGAGGCATCCTGAAAATCCTTCCTTTGCTTTATTCTCAGTCCTGTGGTATTTTTAGAGCAATGCCTATATAAAGGAAAACAACTGAAAATTCCAATCTCCTGTGTATGGCAGGGTGCGTGTACACACACGCACGCATGCACGCGCACACACACACACACACACACACACATAAAACACCAACCAACCAACCAAACAAACAAAAACAACCACACAGTGTGAGGGATATAATCCTTTACTTTTTATCTGATGTGGGGTTTTCTTTGATGTATGAGTGGAAAGATTAAATGAAGACAATACTGTACAGATAACTGGTTAAGGATTAGTGCACTAGCATGTGGATAGTAAATCTGTTCATTTCATAGGTGGGAAACTTTTTCCTTTATGATTTTTTTGGAATGGACTTGTGATTTTGGCTAGAGCTGTTGTGTAGGATCACCTCATACGCCTCTGACTAGCCTGTCAGTAGTTGTCTGTGGATCAAGCTCCCTGACCTGTGTTTGGGTCTGCCCTGGCTAAGGAAGTAGGGTCTTACAGAACAAAGTGGGGAGACATATGTATAAAGAACCTCCTTTGGCAGCTTCTTCATAAGGGGGCCATTGACGTGCAGCAGGTAATGGGAGTATTAGAGACTGCTGCAAAAGTACCTGCTGCCTCTACCAGAAGTCTAAGAGTTAGCTCTTCATGCCGTTGGTGTCAACTGCACCTTCACACTAATCCACTCAAGGTTTCATGTCCAACTCAGACCCTTCTTCTAAGCTATAGATACAGAGAACTTATGGTGACTCAACACCTTCATCTTGATTTCCCAGAGAGAAAAAAAATCTCTGCGAGTATAAAAACGAAACTCATCAGTTTTCTTCTCCTACCCTAAATTTGCAGTTTACTCTAATATTCCATATCCCAGGGATAGACAGCACTCAGGCACCTATGGGAGTCATTTTTTGTTTATTTGTCTGCTTCCTTGCTCCATCCCTTTCCTGAAACACACAACTCAGTACACACACAGAAACACATGTATCTAGTCAGTCACTATTGTCACCAGATCAGTTAAAACAAAAACTGATTACCTCTCAAATTGAAAAATTTTCAGTAGCTTTCTGACAGCTGTTGATAAAGTTCAAAGTAAACTGCTTAGCTTGGCCTACAGGGCTGCTCATGATTGACCCTGGCCTTCCTCACCAGCCTCATCGTCCACCACTCTTATGCTGTTTTGCATTTTCTTTTTTCTTTTTTTTCCGAGACAGGGTCTTCCAGCCTGGAGTGCAGTGGTGCCATCACAGCTGACTGCAGCCTCAACCTCCTGGGCTCAGGTGATTCTCCCACCTTGGCCTCGCCAGTAGCGGGGACCACAGGTGCACGCCACCATGCCTGGCTTATTTTTGTATTTTTTACAGAGACAGGGGTTTCGCCATGTTGCCCAGGCTGGTCTCAAATTCCTGAGCTCAAGTGATCCCTCCACCTCGGCTTCCCAAAGTGGTGAGATTATAGGTGTGAGCCACTATACTGGGTCTGCATTTTTACCTATCCATCTTGTCCAAACGACTCTCCAGGTGGAGTAGCTTTTTTCACTTACATGCTTTGGTTCCTTTTGAACCTCTGCTTAGAATGTTTTCCTTTAAAATCCATCTGAAATTCCTGTAGTTCTTCAAGCTTTAAGGTTCAGCCTTGTCTAGCTCCGCTAGGCAGACTAAAGTAGTTTCTGTATATACTTGTACACATATGCTTGGTCAATATTACCATTTGTATTGTAATTATTTTCATGTCTTTCTCTACTCTTATGGAAGACAAGAAGCAGGTCATGGTCATTCTTTTATCTCCAACACTCAGACATTCTTTGTTTGTTGAACTGATACCTTTGCAGGGCCCTCCTGGGCAGAAACGTCACTCTTTAGGCATTTGCTTAAGTACCTTCATTATGGGAGCAGGAAGAGGCAGTGAGGGAGCATGCCTTCCTTAATATACCTGTCTCCTGCATTTCACTCATGCTTTGGAAATTGATAATATCAAGATAATTGCTTTTCAAGAGAAATCCATATATGGGAGCCAGTGGCCTGTAGAAGATCCCTTTATTTGTAGCTGGATCCAAACCCCAGTGTGAGCCTAGTGAGCTAGCCCCAGTGTGTGAAGAATGCTAAGGCCTAGGCCCACAGCACCTAGAGCATGGATCCAGAGTGCCCATGTGACCTCTATAAGAAGGAAGAACAAAAGCAGGGATGCAGGTGTCACCCCTTCCTTTCGTGGCACATTGTATCTCACCACAGTGAAAGGATTCCATGGAACAACCTTTCCAAGAGATAGGAGAGGAGCTGGAATAAAAAAGTTTCCTCTCTAGCCGTGTAGAAGCAAGAGATGGAGTATTAGGAGGGGCCAACTATACTGTAGCCCAGTTGCCAGGCAGCACCCTGAACCGTGACCGTTTCCTAACAGTGGTATTTCTCCTCAGGAGGCAGGGAGCCATGCCATAAGGCCAGCTACATCTGCTGACTCATGGTTTTGAGTTAGGAAGAATCGTTGAGAAGGCCTTATATCCCAGTCCATTTGCAACCTTAATAACTCAGGGCCTGGGCAAGAGAGACAGGTGAAAAGGAAAGGAGAGTTATGTGGAGAAATTATTGTCTCTTATTTGACAGATGTAAACATCAAGCCACAATCGGATTAAGTGACTTGTTCAAGGACTTACAGCTACAAAATGTCAGTTCAGAATTTTAATGCAGCTCTAAATTGAGTCTCTGTTCCTTTTCACTGAAGCATTCATAATATATGTTATTTTTGGAAAAAATAGATTATGGAAATAATAGACCAATCTCACCTTTTGGCTACATGGCCTTAGCTCTTACATGGTATGTGCCTATGGCTTATGAACTAATAAAATCAGCTGTTTAATTGTTGAACCAATGATTGTTCCTTTACAGGATTGGTGCAGATACATTCTTATAACAATTCTGACCCTTTATACATCCCTCTCAATATCCAGATACAAGTTTTGAGTGTTTATTGTCTTCTCTCCTGTTGAACTGAGCTGAGTAGGGAAGAGGCAGAGAAAATGTGATAAGGGTATAGAATGACATAAAATCTGACTTCAGCTTAATCATTATTGAGTTCAGTCAGTTGACGAGGAATGAAGGAAAAACAACCTTTTTGGCATCTCCAAACTAATTAACTTCAAAACAGCTTCCATAATTGTATTTCTGTCTAATAATATTAACTTAAAGGAATGATATGTTTAAGTGGCTTGAAAGCAGGGTTTTCCATCCTTGTTCCATGGGTCTGTTCAGGAGTGAAATGGAAGCGCAGGGAGTAGCCTGCAGGCCCTTCCGTTGGCCTCTTCAATCAGAGCGGCTATGGGGTTTTTGTTTCACATGTTGGGATTCTCATTAAGCTTTTATTTGAATAAAGGATTTTGTTTTATTAAATAAGTTTAAAAACCTTGTCTTTAATCGGATTCTTAGAAAAAGATAAATTTAGAGAAGATAGTAAAATTTAATTCAACTAATATTTGAGCTCTTACCATGTGCTTAGCCCTGAGGAGACTGTATTGCTGCACTGTCATTACTATTGCTTAGCAGGGAAGATGGATGTTAAACAAGTAATTAAAGGGGGACGAACTTCATAAAAGGAAAAATACAGTATTATGATGGCATAGAGCAGAGACTCAACCTGGTCTCTAGGGCAGTGGTTTCTAAACCTAACCAGAGTAATTCAGAGAGCATTCCTAGTCTGCACCCCTCCCTAGGACCCTGCAGAGATTTTGACCTGCCCAGATTGGAATCTGCAAGCACTGAGAGGGGACAAGGGAAGGTGTCATAGAGACGTTCCTGAGAAGTTACTTAAAGGTCTAGGGTAGACAGACTAGATGGTAAGGTGGAGCATGGGGCCGAAGCTGCGTGGCCCCTGAGGAAAGCTGTGTAGAAAGGTCTAGAGTAGAGGGCAGGTAAAGTATGTTCAAGGAATTGAATAAATTACCCAGTCTCTAGACTTAGAGGGAGAGGGTGTCTCAATATGTACATGTTTCTTTTTTTT